GGAGACGAGGGTCAGACGACGAAGGCCACCCGGGCCGCGAGCCTGCCGCCGCCGTGAAGAAACGACGCCCGAGACCCCGCCGCTCGGCCCGAGGCTCTGCCCCGAGGAGGCCTCACCGCGTTCCTGAGCAGGCGCTGAGAAGACAGCCCGGCCTGGTGGCCATCGCCGCGTCGCGGGCGCGGCGGAGTGTCCCGTAGACTTAAAGGACCCCGGAGCGGTGCACTTCCGCTTCCGGGGCGGGGCTAGGGCCGCGGAGGCGGAAGTGACTCGGCGGGGCTCGGAAGCATGGGCTTTGGCGTTGCCTAGGGTTCACAGGGGCGAGCGATAAGGTGGGCGGTTCGAGTCTTTGGAGAAGATAATTTATTTTGAATTTTGAACAGTTTGAGACTTAGTCCAGGGCGCCCTGGGTTTCACTGTGTCGTCCAGGCCGACCCCGAACCTCTACCATTCTTCCGTAGGCCACGCCATCACACCAGGTGTTTCTCCTGTTAGGTCCAGCTGGCTTCGAAATTTTTGCGTAGCCAGGCTGCCTAGTATTTTACTAGAAAAGTCGTGTTAATAAACGAAAGCAACTCTCATCTTTGGGATGTTGTTTAAAAACTTAGATTTTAAAATATGTAATCTGTGTAAGAGATATGCCTGGCACAGGCTTATCTAAAGGGAGCTAGAAATATCTGAAGGTTTTAGAAATAGGACGTTGTCAGTAGTGATAACGATTACCGGTGTCTTCTGATTCCATCCCACTACCTCTTTCCAGACTTAACGCTGGCCCTTACTTTGAATTTATTCTCTCTCTTTTTAAAAGATTTAGTTCATGCACCATATGCTTACTTTTTTAAAAAAAAAGTGAGAAATAGGAATAATTTGCTGTTAGAGAGGGTGGTTTATAGTTCATCATGGTTTCTGAGTCTGCAGGCCGTTGCACGTAGCTTACCTTTGTTTCAGTTACACATACAGCTGCCACGTCTTTGTGACAGTTAACTCCCCAAGCCCACCCACACCTTGTTGCTGTAATTAACCCTCATGTGAACATTCTTAAGTTAACTCCCAAGCCCCATGTTTTGCCACTGATCAGCACACGTGAACATTCTTAATGCACGAGTTCTGCCACTTACATGAGAAAGGTTTTCTAGCATGTAACTTATGCCTAGGAGAAAAACTTAAGCTACGATTTGGTTTTAATGTATAACACCTTTGATAATTGTAATATTTTGGTAATCTCAGTTGAAAACTGTTGGTTATCTTTATTTTGATAGTTGTTCACATCTTCCCAATTATTTTGTATTGTATAATCACTGATTTTTTTCCCTGAATTTTTATCCTGGGTAATGTGGAATTTTTATTTCCTTTTAGCAAGCAATCCTTGCGTTGGCATCACAGGCTCAGGCTTGCGTGTGAGTACTGGTTCTATATCAGTTGACTCCTCTGAGTATTACTGTGCTTTAAAAAAAACCATTTTTACATGTGTGGGTGTTTCATCTGCATGTTTGTCTGTACAACACATGCATGCTGGGTGCCCTCAAGTCAGGAGTAGGTGTGAATTCCCTGGAACTAGAGTTACAGATGACTCTGAGCTGGGAATCGAACCTGAGTCCTCCGAGGGAGCCGTCAGTACTCTGAACCACTGAGCTGTCTCTTCAGCCCGTGCTGTGCTGCTCTCTTGAGTCTGTCCTGTACCTAAGCATTGGATTGTTTGGGTACCTTAGCAGTACTTTTAGCTGTAGTTTATTACATGAATCATTCCCATCCTGCTTTGATTTGTTCTGCAGACACTCAGTTGAGATGTGAGTGCAGAACTTGAGTGAGTGTGAGTTCATACTAGAGGACACGCTTTTCCATCCATTTTTTTTTTCCATTCTGCTCACATACTCTGTCTTGCAGTGTTATTTTTTTCTGGTCATTTTGTGAGAAATGTAAGAGTTTAAGGTTTCCCTTGAAGTTCTGGCAGCTTGTGATAGCTATAGCATTTGACCAGGGTCCTAACATAGGGTGAAGTGGTGAGGGAAAAGAGAAAGGGGTGGGATTTTTTTTTTTCCTCCACACTTAAGACTACAGAGATTTCCTTTCCTTGCTTTTATATAGAAATATAATTTCTCCTATACTCTCACTCTGTTGATGGGAGGAGAGCTGTGAAGCAGTTTAGTATTTCCTTACAAACTGGTAGCTCACAAATGTGTCTTTCCCCAGTTCTTATGGCTAGAAAAAGATTACAGATTGTGCTGCTACTTCAGACTTACTAGCTGCCCAGTCAGCTACAACAGAGAAAAGGAAATGAAGCAACTGTCAGTGAACCCATACCACTAAGTTTCAGCCCTCTCTGCTGCTATTTGCCCCTTCTTATTTCCTTCTTGGTGCCCACAGATAAGGAAGGTCTTTGAGTATTTTATCCAGGTTTTCCTTGTGATCAATGGAAAAGAGAATTATAGTGCGCCTGCCCCATCCTCTGTTGCTGTGAGTCAGGGAATTGCAAATTAAAACCATAATGAGGTGCTAGTACCCATCTATCAAAGTGAACAAAGGAAAGCTCAGGTAGTCCAGGAGTTAGAGGATGGCTAGAGCCCCCGTGGACTGCAGGCCGTGTGGTCCTTCATATGGTTTGACTTACGCTATTTTTGTCTCATCACCCAAGGAGACTTCACAGGTTACCCTGTGAACTTTTCTTATTCTGATGGTATTTAGTACACTTGAGATTCTGGGGTAGTGACAGTGAGATAGCATGAAGGTGGAGGACTTATCTCTACAGTGTACAGTGTCACTAAGCTATGGTGCTCAGTCTGTTAGGTATAGTCAATGTGTTTTCAGCTTATATTAAATTTGTTATAGGATATTTTCAGTCCAGTGAACTTTATGCAACCTCAGAACAAGTCAAGTAGCATTTTTCCCCCTCTGGAAAATACTTGTCACACTCTACTAAAATCTGAACAAATGTATACACTATAACCCTAAAACTCCTCAGGGTGTTCCCTAAGTCCTGCAAATGTTTCTACTGAAGATGCATGTAACAGTGTTCATTATTCATGATGTTCCCAGTTGGAAGTTTGTCTTTCTCAATGGTAGCCAGAGTAAAGAAATAATCATATAGTTGTTTAGTGAACTACAACATGCAGCAGTAAGAGTGACACTGAAGCCACATTGAATACTGATTGTCACCCAAAATACAACATTGAACTGGTAAATCCATACACAAAATGGAACAACATTGAACTGGTAAATCCAGACACAAAATGGAAAAGTCTATATCATTCCATTTATGCTAAGTTCAGTAACTTCAGAGTTAGTCTCTTACAGTGCTTACCATTGAGAACTGGAAGGAGATAGTGACTGGAGCTAGTACAATGGCATGCAGTTACTTTAATAAAGGAGTGAGTGTGGCTGGTAAAGCTTCTGGGAGAGTCAAATCAGAAAAGTGGAGACGGATTTTTCTGTCCCTCCTACCAGCTCCCAGATCACAGCATGAGACCTTGTCAATTATAAAAGCCCAGCCAATAGCTTAGGCTTGTTACTAACTAGCTCTTACAATGTAATTCATTTTTTTTTATTAATCTTCTTTTTTGTCTTGTGGCTTTATTATCTTTACTCTGTCCTGCCCATGCTGCTTTCTTTTCATCTGGCTGGTGACTCCCCACTTCGTCTTTCCAGTGTCCTGTGTGCCTGAAAATCCTGCCTAACTGTTGGCCGTTTAGTTTTCTATTAAACCAATGAGAACGACACATCTTCACAGTGTACAAAAAGATTGCTCTACAACAGAAGAGTCCTTTACAGTGAGTCTGGGATAGAATAAGTACAGTTGAAGGGTATGTCTGCCAGTAACCTCAACAGGTGAGTTCAAAGACCATAGGGGGCTTTTCAGGGAGGGACATTCCTAGAGTAGAGAGTGAATTTCTTTGTATTAGCATGAAAGAAAAATCCAACTACCCATTATTTTTATTCTAATTCTTTAATTAGTAATTTTGTCCCATCTCCTGAGTACACTTAACCTATCATGGTGAAAAATTCAGAGTGAATTATCCATGCAAGTTAGTGTAGGGGTCGTCCTTCCACGCCACCCACATCCCACCAGTTCCATATTGTCCTAGGGGTTAAAACATAAGACGCACACACACAGATACAGAGTTCCAGTCATCCTCAAGAAGAGAATGCCCCTTTATTCAACTAAATCCAGGGTTAAAATACCTTTGGCCCCAGTAAAGGAAAACTCCTCCCACCCAGAGGGGGCTGGGGAAACTGGCCTCTGTGGGAGTTTTTCCCCAGGCAGGTGGTCGAGGGTTTAAGGCAATGTCAGACAGGTTAGATGGGCCTTGGCGCCTGAGCTTCTTTGAGGCAGGTTGAGAAATTACCATTTTAAAGTAAAATAGATCCCTCAGGCTAATATACCAGGCTGTAGCAGAACCAAGGACAGAACTAGCAGGAAGCTTAGCTGGTTAGTGTAAACATTATTTGCATCCTGTGTTTTGGTCTCAAGGATCAAGGAGGACAGGTTCCCACAAGTTAGTCATACATGAAGCTATATTTATTGATTGATAAATAGTCATTCAAACAAGCAAATCTTGGTCTCTAAGAGGTTAATCAGGTATGGTGAACACATTTGAGATTCTGAACTTACATAATAATAATAATAATAATAATAATAATAAATCTATTTTCTCTGTTAGGGCTCTCTCTACTTGCCAAGAACCAACATCAGAATATTTGCTTTAACCCCTGCCCCCAAAGCCAAACCAGAACAGACAAAAGAGCATGGACAAGTGTGTTGTGAAGAGTAGTCTCGTGGAATGCTGAGGTAGAAGCATCGCTCAGGTCTGAAAAGGGCTAAGAGAAGCTCCTGTGCTTCACTAGCACATTCATCTAAGACAACTGCTTATGTCCTTAGTTTACAAGATTCTCAGGCTGCACTATGATGCTTAGACCCGAGCAAGCAGGCTCTTAGCTTGTCCTGACCCCATGTGTGTTTTGGAAAACCTCCTTGTAGAGATCCCAGTCTCCTGTGTCTTAGCCACTCTAAACTGGGTCCTGTGTGGGTCCTATGTGATAGAAATCCTGGTGTCTTTCATTACCCTATGGTAGTAGTGATGGGGCCCTTAGGTTTTGAGGTTCTCCGGATGCTCTCTTGTGTATGGTTCCAGCAGATGGTCCGTAAGAGCTCTGGGGCTGGCTTCTGTGAGATGAGCTAGCGATGCATGGCCATGACAGGCCCTGGAGGGAGGCTTGATTAAAGTTCCCACTGACCAGGGCAGAAGTTTTTTTGTATTTGATGGGGTCATACAAGTTTAGACCACTGAAATGGTATTGATTAACTGATTGATAAGTGATATATTAAGAGGCATGTATAGTGGGCAGGCCACTATGCACTTCTGTGAAACAGAGACTGATAATGGGGTTCAACCTGAAGATCCGAAAAGCAAAGTAGCCAGCCACTGGCTCTTAGCTCAACCTCAGTCTGAAATGGCGATCCTGCCTCCAGGAATCTCAGAATGAGGCTGTGAGTGAAAGCTGTCTCCTCCCGTTTTATAGTCCTCTCAAGGTCTTAAAGGCGTGTACCTCAGTTTCAGTGGCAGACTAGTGTGGCTATTGGGATTAAAGTGTGTGTCACATTGCCTGGTCTGTAAGGCTGACCAGTGGGGCTGTCTTACTCTCTGATCCTCAGGCAAGCTTTATTTATTAAAATACAAATGAAATGTCATTATACTGCTGATCTTTGGACCTGAAGTCACCTTTGTGAGGTTGTGTGTGGACTCTCCTCTTTCCCCAAGGGAAATATAGGTAGTCATAGTCCCTTTAATTTGCCCCTGCTGCCGTTATTTCTGCATCCAGGGTTTCCAGGGTTTCAAGTGGCATGCTGGGTAGCATTTTTTTTTTTTATGGTCTTTCTTGTCTCTTCCCAGGGCTTTTCCTGACTGTGGTAGTGCAAAGATCAGTTTGCCCCTTCCAGGCTTCCCTTTTCTTGCTTTAATTGACACAGTATCTCCCTGCCCTCCCAGGTGGTTGAAAGTCTTGTTCAAATGATGGGCATTGCTTACCTCAATAAGAAAGTGCTTCCTCACCTGCCTAGGGCCCCTCACCTGTCCTTACTATTGGTAACTGTGGAGAGAGTCAGGCTCCCAGGTGGCATTGCAGTATTCAAATTCCAGGGTTGCCGTGAGTGAGGCCCAGAAGTATCAGAAGATGTGGATGGAAGATGAATTGCTCTGCAAATGTAAATGCTATACATTCTATAAAGGCCAACAATTATGTTTTCGCTCATTTTATGGGTGACACTTGTGTTTGTGGTCCTCCTCCACAAATTCCTTGACAGTGTTCTGGAGGCCATTGTAAAGTGGCTCACATACTGCACAGTGAATGTTGTGGGATATGTGTAGTGACTCAGTAGGCACCGAGCAGATGGCATCAGAGAACCAAGAGGCGAAGCAGCCGTACTGTCTAACTAAAAGAGACTGTAAGAGAGTGTCACTGGATAACAGTGCCACCATCTTCTCCTTGCAGTAAGAGCTGTGAGATTAACCAGGAATGGTGTTTCCGACAAAAACAAACAGGTTCCTTCTGGGAATGGGGAAAATTTTCATTTCCTGACTCAACAATAAATAGAATAGCCATGCAGTGCATTTTTCTTACCCCAAATATTTATCAATGGGTGGTCCCATAGCTTGTAATTAATTTTATAATCAAATTGTTGTTAGAGAGAGCTCCTTCCAATGTCTTGGATGTCCTCATAGCATTGCTGGGCAAGGCACGTCTGCTAAACAGGTCTGCACTCCTCTTCCGCCCAGACTCCAGTGCAGTATCTTGCCTGTAACTGTATATTTCCAAAGGGTCTGCTTGCTCTGGTTGGTCTCTGTGCACCCGTGACCCAGCTGATTATGTAAAGTATTCAGGGCCATGATGACTGCTAGGCAGTGCCATTTGGGAACTATCACACAGGGAGAGGTAGCTTGTTTTATTTTAGTTAATTGATCTTTGTGTTTGTGTGCTGAATAGCAACTTAACACAAAATTAGCACAAAAATTTAATCTCACAGTTTATGTGACTGAGAAGGTTGGGAGGGGCTTAGTTGGTTTTTCTGCTCAGTGTCTCACCATGCAGCTATCAAGCCGGTTGTGGCAGCTGTGCTGGCGGCGAAGTCATGGGTGAGCAGCTAGCTCATGTGTTTGTGCCCCACATTGGGCGCAAGGCAATGTACTTATCTAATTATTTTTATCAATAAAAGACCAGGAGTCAGATATCAGGTAAGAACCTGAAAGATCAGAGAAGCAGCAGAGCAGCCTCCAGTGGCTTCCTACCTCTTCCATCTCTTCCTCTAAAAAGGGCCTAAATCCTCCCTAAGCCCGGTCTTAATTTCTTCTTCAGGCCTCTAAAACCTCTGTGGTTAACCTTGGTCAGCTAGTGGCTAACTCTGCCCTCTGATTCAAAGCAAACTTGGTCAGAGTGCAATCAAAATATCATACTACAGGGTAGATTTGTAGTTGCAATCCCCGCTGAAGCTTGGAGTCTTTTTCTCAGGTATTCTGGTTTTTGGTTTTATAGAACTCTGTCTTTGAATACTGAGGTCATCGTTTTCTTTGCAGATTCTGGCCAGGGCTTTCTCGCAGCTCCTAGAGACGGACCTCAGCCGTGCGTCATGTGGCCCTCTGAAAGCATGGAGCTTATTGCTCCGAAGCCAACAGGAGAGCTGCTCCCAATTCTGCTACTACTGCTGTTGCAGCTGCTTACAACAGCTATTATCGTTGCTAGAGTCTTATATTCAATGTGACATCATAGGCGAAATGATTCTATTATGTTTGCTGTACTACATAACCCAATAAAAGGAGGAACATCCCATTATACTCCTAAGTGCATCAGGAATCTTAAGAGCCATTTTTAGGTCTCACCAGCCATGGTTCTTGAATGGGTAACTGCTGTCAGCACATGAAATCCTTCTTAAATGGATTGTCTGCTTTTTTCTTTGACATTCTTTTGGGAACAGCCACTTGGTTATTAGTGTCCTTAGTATGAATTTCCAATGTGAACTTACATTGACACTCATGTCTCACAGACTTCAAAGGGACATCTCCGAGCATGTTTTGTCACACAGAGTTTTCCATATAATTTAAAATAAATGTACTATAAGAAATGATTAAAAAGTGTGTATTTAATGTAATTTATAATTGACATTTCAAAAAGCCAGTGGTAGGAGACTGGACCGCACACATACTTCATAACCCTTCAACTTAACAGCGTTTTCTCATTCTGTAGGATTCATTGGTGGAATTTATTTGCCAGCTGGTGTTTCAGAGTCCTTTATAAATTAATTATAGTATTTACTAGCCGTGTGGAGGTGAAGAAATCTAATTAGGTCAAGGAGGCTGGCCCTGCTGGAGACCCAAAAGCAAAGCCCGGAAGGTGTCAGCTGCAGATCCCTGTTGTGCTCTCATGAGTACATGTTTAGGGGGTGGGTAGTGGAACAGCAGAAAGGATACATAAAAGTTTACAATAAAAATTGATGAAAATGATTGAAGCTGTCTACCAATAAATAAACAGACAAAATTGGAAAACCTTATCGCTGACCAAGACCTCAGGTTTTCTATTACAGTGTAAGAACTTGATGTGCAATGCTAAACGCATAGTCATGAATTTACTCCCTTGGTCAGTGAACACAGAGCTGGTTGTGGTAGGTAAAGAGGATTGTATCACAGTCTCCTAAAGGAGCGCAAAGATGGCAAACATGTCTGTATAAGCATGAGGAAACTGGGATTTAGGCAGACTTAAGGGTAGGGGAGATCGATGCATTGATGTTACTCCATCACAAGTGTTAAACAAACAAACTTTAAAGGGTTGGGAAAGGAGCTAGGTCACTAGAGCACAGCGCAGGAGTGAGCCTGGGACGCTGATCTGGAGGCCTTGCCTGGTTGCTGAGCCTTTTCCCACAGCTCCCAACCTCTGACACTTTCACCATTCTCTCTCTCTCTCTCTCTCTCTCTCTCTCTCTCTCTCTCTCTTATGAAAGACCTTTGAGAAAACCCATTCAGTGTTGTAAATAACCTAGTTTAGCATTTACATTCTTATAAGGGGTTTCCAAGTTACCAGAAATAAAATCTCAAAATCGGGCGTCAAAACCCTCAGAATTTACTGGGGTCGGTCGTAAATATAAATGAATGGCTAAGGGCCAGAGTAAGACACTGGGGAGTGAGGGGGACTGTGACAGACTATTTGAGAACATGAAAACAAATGAAGTTTCAGCTGAAGCAAAAGTGCCCACTGGATGATCATATCAGGCCAGTAGTTGCCCCTGTATCCTGCTTTTAGAGTTGTTTCGAATTTTGGGGTACAGAAACGGATCCAAGAACAGGAGACTGTGTGACAAACTGCATACAATATTCTTCCTTCACCTGAATCAGTTGGGGAGGTTCTGGCCAGCATCCCCCCCCCACCCACTGTCTCACAGGCCCCCAGTATCTTTCCTGTCTGTTACTGCTATTCTTTTTCATTTGCTGTAACCTGAGAGGATCAGAACAGATATGGAGACTTTACAGACAGAAACTACAGCGAATAGATGAACTGTAGGGGTTCACATCCATCAGCGCTCTCCAGCTTCTAGTCTGTACAGGAGCTGTGTGGTCAGTCCTGCTGAGACCCTGCCTGCTCTAGCACGACTCTAGGACTCCAGGCGGTTCACACTTCTTTAGCCTCAGGCACAGTTTTGGATTTCCAGGCCCATGAAGCACAGTCAGAATATCTAGTCTCCTGATGAGGAAGAGGAAAATTAGCTTCTCCACAGGCCATTCACTTTCTTTCCTAGAAGGGCACCCTAGGGAAAAGAAAAGCAAGCCGACAGTCTGGTTGAATCCTTTGGTTAACAGAAAATCCAGCTGAATGGAAAAAAAAAAGTTTTAAAAAGGAGGTTTTGTTTTGTTTTTCCAACACCATCCTGAAGGGGTCCCCTGGAGCAAGGGTTAGTGCTGAGAGATGTTTGATTGCACTGCAAAACTGCTAGACTGTTAAAAAAGAAATTAACCTTGGATTGGGCGTGGAACTAGCAAGTAGTTGACAGGATTTAACCATAGAGAGAATGGAGGAGCCAGGAATACAGATAGAGTGATGCACAGGAAGGAGTAGGGAGGGACTTAGAGATTTCTGGTCTTTTTGGTTTGCGGTGAGTGGAGAGACGCTTCTCTTGTTGGGTCTTCAGCCAAAAAAGAAGGTCAGCCGGTAGCTTCTCGACTTCTCTGACTCCAGAGTCTTTAGAGTGATAGAGACTTAGTTAAAACCCACATTTGGGGGTCTTCACCAAACTGATACTGGTAGAACAAAAAAATCCCATCAGGGTGCTGACTCTGAGACCTTGGGGCACAGATGGAAGTTCAAATATCAGCAGACTTAGGTGTGGCTGCTCAGCTGACAGAGAAACAACAGCTTAGTTCTAGTCAGTAAGTCTGGAATCTGTTATCTCATGCAGCATGGTTTCCTGGAGGGTGTCATAGGATGTCACACCACTGTATACCTCTAAGATGTAAAATGGAGATGTTTCAGAAATCACATGCTCCAACTTTGTGAGACAGTGCAAAACCTCTATAGAAAACTTGCACATCATCATAGATCACAGGAAGGTAGGATCTGGAAGCAGCCACCTTCAACGTGCCAGAACGTTCTCTGCTCTGTCTTTGTCTCTTGGCTGCTAGCACTCCTGAAATGAGTAATAAAGTTTGAGGCTGTCTCTGTTTTTGTAAGATTGACTTGAAGGCTGATCCAGGAAATACCAGTCAGAATGTAGAATTTATTTGGGAACATTGGGAGAGTTCTGTCTTCAGTGGAATTGCTAAGCTGCTGTATGTGATTGTGAAACCTACTTTTTAGAGGGTTTGCCCACAGACGAAGCTATGCAAAGATAGTAAAGCTGATAAATGAGATCAAGGGAGAGGCACAGGAAGGGGAAGGAGAGAGGGAGGTGGAATACAGCTCTTGAATGTCTGAATTAAGCTTTGCATAAGTCATGTCTGCTCATTGGATGTTCTAGTCACACAGACCAAATTTGAGTTTTTCCTTTTGATTGAAACTCAATTGTACAGGATTCTGCAACTTGGGACCACAAGTTCTGATTAATATTACAATGGCATTTTATATTGGCTGCACCGAGAGGGTCTAAGGAATCAGGATTTGGTAGCCTGCTAGGCAGGAATGGCTCTCAGGTGTTTCTGTGATCTGAAGAATATACATATTGTAAATATTTCCTGAAACAGTGGGCACTTATCAGATCTAATTCACACATAGCCATTATTGAATTTTAAACAAGATTTCAGGCATTATAGTAATATTTTAAGCATCTTACTCTATCTACTTATGAAGGAATATTCTGCCTTATTCTTTTGCTAGATTTACTTTATGTGTAAACTTATTTGGGACTGTGTGACCAGGTCATAGGGTGTCTTATTAATTTGGCTTTGATTTAGGAAGCAAAACTCTAACAACTACTTTTTAAAAATATTTTAATTGTTTCCGTTGTCTCTGTGTGTCTCTGTGTATATCTCCAGTTCCTCATAGACAGGCAATGAGTTTTATGTCCATAATTGTGGGAACTGGAATATAGTTGATGCTCAATACTTTTGGAACACAAAAAGAGAAGATTTTTTTCCCCATAACTGACCTATCTTTCTGTACAGCCAAGGTTTCCTTCACTGTCTTCCAAATGTGCGTAATTATTTTACTTGGTTTGAAGCAAGTGGAAACATCTGCAGCAATGAGCTGGCTCGCTCACACTGTCCCATAGTGTGGTCAGTGATGAAGATCCCGGCAGTTTGGATCTAGAGAGCTCGTTCTGCCTCACGATAGCCTTGCAGCCACAGCTGAGGCCCAGGCACCACCTTTAAGACTCCTTGCCTGGCTACAGTATTGAGGACTGTCTGTAGAACTGTTGGCTGGGGATCATCTAGACACAGTCAAGGGCCAGGTGAGTGCCTGCTCTGTGGTCACAGTCATTGTTATTCCCTAGACCTCACACTCATCAAAGTGAAATGGGGACAATACTGTTTAAGTATGTGGGTTTTACATGAGTAATTCTCGTAAAATGCCTGGCAACAACACACTATTAACAATTTTAATAACCACAATAAGAGTGTTGAATATTTAGTATAGCACATACTTGGTAATAACCCCTGTAATATTTGTGTTAGCAGGAAGACATCCGTACCAATCTGCATGGGTTCTAACCCAAGCTGCACTGCCCATTGTTTGAGTGACTGATCCTGATCAGGTTATGTAATGTCTCAGGATCATCTGTAATAAAAAGAGAATAATGATAGCATCCGCTTCCTAATGTGGTTTGAGGTTTCATTGCCAAGGTCCCTCTAAAGTAATAAAGGCAACAGCAGGCGAACAGCACACAGCCAATAAACCTGAGCTGCCGGCACCTCTCTCAGCGTCAACCACTGCCAGTGGAGAAAGTGATTATGTCTGCTTGTCCGGGCTGAAGTGTGGTAAAACATGATAGGGCTCATGGAAATAGCTAGTCAGTGGTGGGCACCTGATAAACACCAGCTTTCTTCTCCTGTTTTTGATTCAGTAGACAACTCAGAAGTTTATGATGCTTTGGGGTTGCAGCATGAATGTCAACCTTATCTGTGTGTGATTACAGGACAGAAAAGATGGGTGGAATTTTACCAGTGACATGTATTAAACATTGTTCATTCAATGGACTAATTCATTGTCTGGTTTTCTTCTAAAAGTGGCTTCATCAAGAAATAGCCAATAATTATTAATTCTTTTGATTCTGGTCACAGATAGGGTGATTTACTCTCTGCAAAGGAAGATGGAGAAATAGGTTATTTTTTCAAGTTTTTGGTGGCAAACCTTG